CCACCTCGTGGGCTACACAGAATATTAGAAATGGGCTAGAACAATATGTAAGAGCTAACCAATAAGAGGCTACAGATAACGGGCTAGGCAGTGTTTAAAAGAATACAGTTTCCGTGTAATTATTTCGGGCATAAGCCTGCCATGTGGGAGCCACACCTTTAATCTCAGCACTCGGAGGCAGAGGCTGGTGGGTCTCTGTGAGTTTGAGGCCAGCCTGATCTACAAAAGCTAGTTCCTGGACAGGCTCCAATGCTACAGAGAAATCCTGTTTCAAAAATAAAAATAAAATAAAAAAGTAGTCTTCACTAGAAAGCTAAACAGATCTACAAAGAGTTAATAGCTAAAAGTGTTAGTGGATTAGCATCTCCTTGGGCCTGCAGGAGGACAAGAGGATTGGAAGTGGAGTATTAAAGGCAGCGGGAAACCCAGAGAGAAGGACTGCACAAAACTCGCTGGAAGAAGAAGTAAGATCATATCTAATACATAGATATAATTTCTCATCGTTTACCCCGGATAACTTTGAGAAGAACAAATAAGTGTATTCATCTTCTGTCATTTCACCAGCCTCGGAGGTGCTCGCCAAGGTGTGTCTAATTCTGTCGCTTTCTTAGGTCCGTTCAACATCCAAGTGCTTTGGTGAGTGATGACCCAGGCCTCTCTTCTGTCCCTCGGCCTCCCTGCTTCCCAGGGTTTTCCTGAACAAGGGCAAGGCCTTCCTAGTTCCCGGCCTCCTCAGAACTCACTGTTTGTTTGTTTTTTCACTCTCTGAGATGGGTCTTGCCTCCCCCCCCCCCCCATAGCTAGTCTGGACCAAGCTGCTCCTCCTACCTCTGTCTTCCTAGGGCTGGCTTTACAGGCATGAACCATCACACCCAGGCTTCCCCCCACTCTGCCGACTAACTAAGAGCAGGGTGGATTTTCTCAAAATGCCACATTTTTACCCCTATTGATCTGTCATTCGAAGGAGAGGGATTCTTGACTTTTGTTGTCAGGTTTACTGCTTGTTTCTTAGACAAGGTCTCTCTGGAACTCACTGGCCTCAAACTCATAGAAAACCTCTTTGATTCTGTTTCCCTGTACTGAGATTAAAGGCATGTGCCTTTTTTGAAACAGTATCTCACTATGTAGCCCAGACTGACCTCAAACTCCTCCTGCCTCTAGTAAGGATGAGGAGATGCCTCTTTCTAAATTCCCTCCAACCCCAAGATCAGCAACCATCTCCATTTTTGCGTTCCATGGCGTAGACAGATCGTATTTCACAAATACGACAGCCGGGCATGTTGATACAAGCCGTTAATCCCAGCACTCCAGAGGCCAAGAGAGATGAGTTTCAGACCTGGCTGGTCTACATAGAAAGTTCTAGGTCAGTCAGGGATACATAATGAGACTCTGTCTTAAGAAAACAAATACAGTTAACAAAGAAGAGGAAGAGGGAAAAATCAAGGGTTTTGACTTGGCCCCTTCATGGCATCCTCTCTCTTATTTACTTGGTATATTTTTTTGGGGGGGGTTACTATTGTTTTCTAGAAAAGATTTCAGGAGCTATACAAGATATGCAAATGTAATGAGCTATATTGATTTTCTTCCTTCAAAGTCATTATATTTTAGATGGGGGGCAGACAATAAAGAAGTATAAATAAGAGATAATGATACCTGAGTATTAACAATGTGATAGGAGGGGGCCTGGAGAGATGGCTCAGAGGTTAAGAGCACTGACTGCTCTTACAGAGGTCCTGAGTTCAATTCCCAGCAACCATATGGTGGCTCATAGCCATCTGTAATGAGGTCTGGTGCTCTCTTCTGGCCTGCAGACATACCTACAGACAGAACACTGTATACATAACAAGTAAATAAATCTTAACAAAAAAACAACAAGGTGATAGGAGCCTGGCAGTGGTAGCCCGTGCCTTTGATCTCAGCACTCAGGAGGCAGAGGCAGGCATATCTTTGTTAATTTGAGGCCAGCCTGATCTACAAAGTGAGTTTCAGGACAGCCAGGGATACACAGAGAAACCCTAAAAAAGAGAATATGACAGAGATTGAGCTGGGTTTGGTGGTGGTGCGTGCCTTTAATCCCAGTACTGGAGAAGCAGAGGCAGACAGACCCCTTGAGTTTGAGGCCATTTTTATCTACAAAGTTCCAGGATAGTCAGTGCTACACAGAGAAACCCTGTCTCTAACACACACACACACACACACACACACACGCACACACACGCACATGCACACGCACACGCACACGCACACACACATGTGATGGGGTAATAAGCAGATCAGAGCAAGTTCATTTATTTATTTATTTATTTATTTATCTATTTTGGTTTTTCGAGACAGGGTTTCTCTGGGTTCTATTCCTGGAACTAGCTCTTGTAGACCAGGCTGGCCTCAAATTCACTGTCTCTGCCTCCCGGGTGCTGGGATTAAAGGTATGCACCACCAACGCCTGGCCAGAGCAAGTTCATTTGGCATATGGAAAGATGTTGAGGACTGGAGATGTGGCTCAGTGGTAGAGGATTTGTCTAGCACAAATGAGGCGCTGGGTTTGATCCCTAGGCCCATCGCCCTTACCCCAAGGGAAAAAATGCTGAGAGACTGAACGATGAAGAGGCAATCAATTTAAAGACAAAAGAAAAAGAGGCCTTGGTGGCTCACGCCTTTAATCCCAGCATTCAGGATGCAGAGGCAGGAAGATCTCTGTGAGTTTGAGGCCAATCTGGTCTACAGAGTGAGTTTCATGACAGCCAGAGCTGTGTAGAGAGACCCTGTCTCAAAATCCAATCAGTCGATCCATCAATAATGGTAAAAGAGCAAGAGCAAGAGCTCCAGGAATGTTCAAGAGACGTGGAGATTGGTGGGAGAGGGAGGATATGAGGAGCAGGAATGAGCAGTGTGGTGAGCTGAACTCAGGAGGCAGAGCCTGGCCTGCGCAGTCTGAGAAAGGCACCACGTGTTCAGATGTCGTTCTAAGGTACTGAAACCTCTCTTTTAAGCCTTATACATGTGGGTTACTTTATAGTCACCATGACTGTTTTCGGGAGAACTGATCGAGTTTAGACAGGGAAAACATGGCAGTTCGGAAAGACACACAGATGCCCGAATGGTGGACAGCGTGAACTTGAGGAAGAAGCCAGAGAAGAAGCTAGATGAGGGATCAAGGCTTTGGGACTGCTAGGGTGCCAGCAGCACACACAGAGACAGGAATAGGGATTAAAGAAATGGGAGCTCTGCTCCGCAGGCTGAGTTTGAGATATCTAGGTGCCATACAAGTTATGATGCTTAAAAGACATCAAGTATCATGTGAGGGTTGAAGCTGGAGACATAAATTTGGATGCAGCAGCATATTGGTACTCAGAATCTAAAACCAGGGGAGAGTGTTGACCAAAATATGAGACACATGCAAATAGGATTTCTCTGTCATTCAGGACAGAGAAGAAAGAACGGGACTGTCCTGGAGTTTCCATTCACAGAGATTAGTTTAAACTCTTCCCTCCCTCTTGCTCCCACTCCTCTCCTCCATCTTTTTTTTAGGAGGTGAGATTTTTTTTTAAATATTTATTTATTTATTATGTATACAATATTCTGTCTGTGTGTATGCTGCAGGCCAGCAGAGGGCACCAGACCCCATTACAGATGGTTGTGAGCCACCATGTGGTTGCTGGGAATTGAACTCAGGACCTTTGGAAGAGCAGCCCCCAGGAGGTGAGATTTGAGAAAGGGTTTCTGTGTGTATTCCTGGATGTCTTGGAACTCACTCTGTTGACCAGGCTGGCCTCAAACTCAGAGATCCACCTGCCTCTGCTTCCAGAGTGCTGGGATTAAAGGCGTGCGCCACCACCACTTTCCGGCTGGCCCCTATTTTTTATATTGGTTTTACTTAATTTTTGTGTATATGTATGTGTGCCTGAATGTATATCTATGAATCCAGGATCCTGTGGACATTGAAGAGGCATCAGATTCCCTGGAACTGTGGGTGCTGGGAATTGAACTCAGGACCTCTGGGAGAGCACCTGCTGCTCTTAACCTCTGAGCCATCTCTCTAGAACTTTTCTTTCTTATTTTAACAACATCTAGCTAAGTAGCTAAGTAGCCCAGGCAGGATTCAAATTTTGAATCCTCCTGCCTTGGTCTCTTCAGTGATGGGATTACCGGTATTTCCCACCATACCTAACTTAATTTAACTTTCTTTGCCCTTTTCCAGCTCTCCAGGAGATAGTACTTGACTTATTGAACTCTCGTCAGATATATTAGCCATGGGGACTAGGTCATAGGATGTAAACGGGTAAGAGTTGGTCCTGTAATCTGAGAGGAAGGAGGGTTTAGAAGCCCATTTTCCAGAGAGAAAAGTTGGTCATTTGCTACCAGGATGAACAGATACATAAAATTAATCAAAAATGCTAAATATCAACTCATCCTAAAGTCTTTTTATTTATCTACTATGTATACATGTATGCACTGCAGGCCAGAAGATGGCACCAGATGTCATTACAAATGGTTGTGAGCCACCATATGGTTGCTGGGAATTGAACTCAGGACCTCTGGAAGAGCAGCCGGTGCTCTTAACCTCTGAGCCATCTTTCCAGCCCTAATTTTTTTTATTTGTTTATTATGTATACAATATTCTGTCTGTGTATATGTCTGAAGGCCAGAAGAGGGCGCCAGACCTCTTTACAGATGGTTGTGAGCCACCATGTGGTTGCTGGGAATTGAACTCAGGACCTTTGGAAGAGCAGGCAATGCTCTTAACCACTGAGCCATCTCTCCAGCCCCTCCAGCCCTAATTTTAATTTTGAACAAATAATATCATGATTACTGAGTGCATGGCCTGTTGTTGTTCACACTATCACCACCACAAATAGAACTGTGGTGTGTCACATATCACCACAAAAGTACTAGCAACTCCTCCTGCTGCTTAGGGGCATCCTGCAACAAGTTACACTTCATAAAGACTTTCCCTTTGTTTAGGGTCTTCTAGGATCTCCTGGAGCCTGATAACCGAGGTGATGATACAGCTCCTGGACCATACACCAGAGGACCTGCCAGTTAGAGACATGGATGACTCCATTCTCCTGGAGGAAGGTAGGCGACTTCCCCACGTCTAGATGTGTCTTCACTGCCGGAAAGGATCACCAATCTGTCACAGGGACAGTGTGACAGTCTGCACAACAGAAACAGTTTGCTTCCAGCCCTTTCCCTACAATTTCTTCTTATGTCAGTATTCAGGTATTTAATTGTATGAGTATGCATGTGCCCCTGAGTGTATGTGTACATCACAGGTGTGTAGTACTGTGTTCATCAGGTCCCTCAAACAGGTAGGTGGTTGTGAGGCACCGTGTGGGAGCTGAACCCAGCTCTTCTGCCAGAGCAGTGCATACCCGTGACCACCTAGCCACTTCTGAGCCTCCTAAGGTTTCCTTAGTATTTTATTCTGATTCTGTGTATGTGTGTCTGTGTGCATGTAACACGTACACACTAGAGGTCAAAGGACAACCTTGGGTGTAGGCACCTGCTGCCTTTTGTTTTAAGACAGGCTCACGTATTGGCTTGGGATCTGACTTTTTAAGCTAGGTAGCTTGCTGTGAGCTTGCAGGTGTTCTCCCATCCTGAGCGCCCGGTCAGCCACTGCTGGGGTCACAGGCACATGCCACCATGACTAACCTTTTATGTAGGTTATGGAGATCTAAACTCAGGCTGGTGAGGTGTGTACTTTATTGACTCAGGCATCGCCTTAGTCATTCACGTTCTTGTGTTTATTTAAAATTATTTATTTATTTATTATGTATACAATATTCTTCCTGTGTGTATGCCTGAAGGCCAGAAGAGGGCACCAGACCTCATTACAGATGGTTGTGAGCCACCATGTGGTTGCTGGGAATTGAACTCAGGACCGTTGGAAGAGCAGTCAGTGCTCTCAACCTCTGAGCCATCTCTCCAGCCCCTTGTGTTTTTTTTTTAAATTAATTTAAAAGTTAAACAATTTTATTAGTAAAGGAAACCAATGAAGGCCTACCATCCTTGTTGTCCTGGATGCTCAACTTCCAGTTCAAGGGGAGCCTGGAGAAGAGCTGGGCATACTCTGAGACAGAATGCAATGCCCTGGGATTCTTTTCCTTGTTTTTGTTTTTGTTTTTGGAGACAGGGCTTCTCTGTGCACCAGCCCTAGCTATTCTGGATTCTGGAACTCGCTCTGTAGACCAGGCTGCCCTCACACTCACAGAAACCCGCCTGCCTCTGCCTCCTG